CTGATGTGCTGTTCCAGTCGGTTTTGGAGAATATTCAGTAGAATCTTGCTTGCATGTGAGATCAATGCTATTGTTCTGTAGTTTCCACACTCACTTGGGTCACCCTTCTTTGGAATGGGAGCAAATATGGATCTCTTCCAGTCCATTGGCTAAGTAGTTGTTCTCCAGAATATATATATATATATATACACAAAAAAGCAAATAACAATCAAAGGGTGTGTGTCAGCTTGGCTGGGTTGTGGTTCTCAGTGGTTCAGCAGGTATGTATGAGCAGAACAGTCTGGCTGATATACCATGTGTAAGTCTACAGTTATGTAATGGAGTAATCCTCCACCTATGATCTGATATGGTTCATCCTCTATTGTTAAAAAAAGGGCGATTTTCATATGATGACCTAGACTTTGGAAACTATGTCAAAAAATGATTAATGAATATGTATTAAAAAGTAACTAAAAGGGGAACACTTTAAACTTTTCAAAGAAAATTTTTGATCACAGTTTTTAAAATTGTACCATTTTACAGAGGCTGAGTAGTTATTATCCAGTAACAAAAATTTGCACGTTTACATATTTTTGCTTCCAAGCTGAGTCATATTTTTCTTTGTCTTTATTGTTGCTGTTGACTATTTCCCAACAAGTTTTCAGTAAACTCTTCCTCCAACACAAATTTCGTTACCCCTGGTGTAGACCATTAACTACCTTAATCTAATTCCCAGCATGTGAATTTTATTAGCATCTATTCCAGTGACTAAACCCTCTTTACATCTCACTTTTCATTTTGTAACCAAGTGATTACACAGAGTCAAAGGAAACTACACTTCTTTTGCACAATATCTGGAGGAGTGACTTTCAGGAAGAATCAGATTCATCACAGATTTCCAATTTAAATTATTTTTATTTTTATTACATTGCAATTCACACAGTCCCGTCAATGATTTCACTAGGACCAACAATCAACATGTTTGGAACTAAGATGTTATCAGCTTCAAAAACTTGAAAAATGCAACCCAAAATGAAATCTTAATTTTTCTTCCTTAATGTAAAAGGGAAAAGTCTACAGTGTTCTTTTTTATAGATTCATACTATTTGTTCTTTAGATTTTTTTTCCACATACACCCAAGCTGTTAAAAATATCTTAATTCAAATTAACTTCAATATAAAATTTCTTGGTACAAAAGTACTGGAAGAAAATGATATGAAATTCATGTTGTGGTTGAACCTGTGACTCATAGCAGCCCTGTGTGCGACAGTTCTGAACCTTGCCCTATCCTGAGCCCTATCCTGCTTTTTGTTTTGGTTTTTAAAAATTAATTTCATAAGACTAAGACATCACCATGAAGTCAGAACCAATGCATGGCTGACCCTCCAGTAAATTTGCAAAATTGTAAATTCTGAAGGAAGAGATTACCTATCTTTCTTCCCTGTGGCAGCTGGTGAATTCGAGCCTTGGCCTGGCTTTCGGTTGGCAGTGCAGCTCCTTACCTCTAGGCTGCAGAGCCAACCCTTGGTCTGATTGCTTTCTGCTCACAAATGTTTATCGCCAGCAGATGTCATTACTGGGTACGTTTTCTAGCAGAAAATATTAAATGATTCCAGGGGGAAACCCCCAAAGTTTAAGTTCTAAGGACAAAATATGAAAGTTTCTAATGTGGATTAGCTGTCTGCAGACTAAAAGAGGCTTATTAGTATTTTTTTGTACTTGACATGAAAGGACAAAATATCTAAGCTATTCATTTTATGTATTTACACAAAAAATATTAATTTTATGTGAATTAATTAATTTCCTATTTATTGACCTTTACATTGGCATTTACTTTACTCCAAAAGATACTTTACTTCCAAAGATACAGATTTATAATGTTTGGGTTGGATTTTGTTTTTCTTTTCTTCTCCCTTTCCATAACTTTTTTATCATTGTTGATCTCATTGGTTTGGTAGAGCTGGAAAAAACTCTATGAAAAAGTGATTTTAAAAATGTCTAGTTTGGATTGAAAATTCTGAAGCACTTTTCCCAGTAATAACCTATGAGGGAATTATTGGTATTCAGAAACTAGGATCCAATCTACCTCTGGCAATGAAATAATACTACTCTGAAAGACCCGCTATAATAAATCTACCAAAAATGTTAAAAATACAGTCATTAAAGTGGCCAGGAAAATATTAATGTACTAGCATTAAACATTTTATGCAACTTCAAAATACATTAGTAGTAAAGTGTATCCCTAAGCTATATTCCCAAATGAGTTTTCATGCTGTGTAAACTTAGTGGATGCAGAACAATTAAATTTTGTTTGCAAAACTTGTTAATGCTTATCTTCAGTACATACCTTTCATGATCTTTCTACCAGTCACGACTAGTCACCAATGCTATGTGCCTTTTTTGGATAAAGGAGGAATTCTCTCTTCTCCTGGTTTTTATAATTCCTATTATTCTTGGTCATTTACCTTCTGTGATAATTCTTCAGATTCCTCTCCTAGATTCTATTCTTCTTTGGTCTTTCATGTACTGGTTGCAATTAGGGTCTTCATCCTTATCTTTCCCTTGTTCAACTAATATGCTTCCAAGGGAATGGCATCCCATTAAAAATTTGCAAAGAACCCTAAGTTGTTTTTATCTCAGGGAAGTTTGGTCATTTGTCTTCAGTGATGTGCTTTAATCCATGAGCTGCACGGAATAAATTCCCTCTTGCATTTCTGATACATCTCCATGCTTTATTACTCAGCTCACATTCTATGGTTATTAAGTGTTCAGTTTGTGAGGTTCCACAACAGTCATTCCAAATTTCAGTTGTAATGTGTATCACATTGTATTTAAAGTATTATTTTATTAATCTGACCTCATTATGAATATAAACTCTTTAATGACATGAAATATTTATTGATATTTCTGTCCTCACTACCTTGTAAAATTTCAGAAACTCTGTTGTTCCATATAACCAATCAATATCTGTTGAGCAGATTAGTGGTCGAAATTCTACTGTCAATCAGACATTCATATTCATGAAGATTTAAGAGCCGCCAATTCAATATCAACTAGATCAAATAATGGTAACAATTTCAGAGGAATACTAATATAAAATCACATACTTTAAAAAGACTAAAATCTTTGTTACTTTCAAGTCATTTTTTCTTTCATGTATTTGGTTTGCAGATTTTTAACAATCTATTCTTGACAAACCGGTAAAGAATTTTCTTTTTTCAAAAATGTTAATCTTATATTTTCTGGATATTGTCAATAGAAAGTTGGGTATTGGCTCAATATTTTGTTTCAATTTGGCCAATTTAATAGTTAGAATTATGATTCTTAAGTATATAATGTCTTATGGTAATGTGTTGTATGTGCTTTTGAGTCACCTGTGACTCATAGCGACCCTATATATAACAGCCCTAAACCCTGCTCTATCCTGTGTCAGTCTTATTGTCTCTGACACAACTACCCCCACTATTCCAGTCACTGAATCAATCCATCTCATCAAGGGTCTTCCTCTCTTGCGCTGTCCCTCCCAAGCATGATGTCTCTCTCCAAGGACTGGTCCTGCCTTGCAAAATGTCCAAAGTATGTCAGATAAAGCTTCAGAATCCTTGCCTCCAAGTTTCACCCTCTCTAGGATGAACCTGTTTGTTCTCCCAGCAGTCCATGGTATATTCAATACTCTTCTCCAGCCCCACAGCTCAAAGGCATCAGTTAAAATTTTCATTCAATACCACATTTCCTTTTCCTTCCATATTGTAAATATGGTTTTAAAGGCCTTTTATTTCAGAAGTGGATGACCAATACTAGACACAAAAGAGCAATAATGTCAATCTAGAAACAGATGTATGCCTGATATAGGCCAGGGTCTTGATTTACTTGCTGTGCATCTGAGAGATGGACAATGACTAAGGATGACAGAAGAAGAATTGATGACTTCGAGTTGTGGTGCTGAAGAAGAGTGTTGAACATACCATGGGCTGGCAAGAGAGGGTAACAACAAGCTGTTCTTTGGAGGCAAGGATTTGGAAGCTCTATCTCACAGACTTTGAGCACATGACTAGGAGGGACCAGTCTTTGGAGAAGGATATTATGCATGGAAGGGTGGAGGGATAGCACAGGAAAGAATGATGCCAGATGAAATGGATTGACGCAGTAATTGGGGTAAATGGAGGTATGTGTGTCACAGAAAGACTGACTCAGGATGGGGCAGGCTTCAGGTCTATTATACATAGAGTTGCTATGAGTTGCAGACAACTTGATGGCACAAGACAACAACCACAACATATTCTCACCAGGGAGCTCCGGTGGCCTAGTGGTAAGGAGTTGCACTGGTAGTCTAAAGGTAAGTGGTTAGAATTCACCAGCTGCTTCACAAGAGAAACACAGGCAAGCTTCTTCTGTGTGATTAACAGTCACTGAAAACTCTTAAGAGTCTACTATGAGTTGCTTCCAACTTTATGGTACACAACAACAACAGCAACATTCTCTTAAGGCTCAAACCTCATTACTGTATGGCTGGGGCCAACTCATGTCCAGCTAACACTGTTTTGGGATTCCAGAGCTGTAAAGAGAGCCCATGGTAGATTTAAACCAGCTGGAGCACGACTCCCAAGGAGCCGCTCCACTACATTTTAACAACAAAATATGAGATTGTTTGCAAATATATGTGTTATACGAGGAAAAGAATCATAATATATGCTTGAGGTATGTATACTAAAGATTAATTTTCTACAAAAATTAATTATCCCAATGAAAGTTTGATTCAAAGTTTCATTGAGGAACATATTTTTGGCAGAAAATATAAAGAAAGACTTGAACTGAGTAAAATAGGGCTATATTAAAGGGGTTTTGTTTGTTATTGTTGTTTTTTACCATCATGGTTTAGATTACTGTTTAGTAGATGCCAATTCTAATGTAAGAAGAGAAACATAGATTCTTCATACCCCTAATTCACGTATCCTTCTGTGCGATTATATGTTTGTTTGGTCTCCATGAGAGAGAATCCTTGAGAAGAAAATCAAGTTTACCTTCTTTGTCTCTCTGGGTTTTTAGTTGGGAGAGGGGGTTTGCACTGGTCTGCACACAGTACACCTCTCGGGTCTGGACTCCTCCTCCGCAGAGGGCGGTCTGGTTCCCTCTCCTCTTATCTTGCTGACTGAGCAAAGGGTCCACCCGACACTCTGTCCACTCAGTGGTTCGCCAGTCATACCTAAATAAAAAAGGAGACAGTAACTACATTTTGTTTTATTAAGTAATTTCTCCACTCTCTTCACTCTCTCTTAAGAAAACTAATTTAAGAAACATTTTCTCTCAAATCAATTTTTGGTGCAAATTCAATCTCAATCCTTTTCTTTCATGCTACTGTTTTACTGTAAAAGGGATTAAATTTAGGACAATCCTGCTTTAATCGCAACAACTGGAAACTCCTAATAAATATTTTATGAAAAGGGAGCATAATGCTGAAAATATGAAATTTTATGTTCAATTAAGCTAAGTTCAGGCTTGCCCTTTCCTGATGCTCATAAACAAAGGGAAGCAGTCGAAGTAGTGAATACAAACATTTGTTTTAATAAAACATGTGGACATTAATTCTTCATACTGTATGAAGTATGTATACATACTTCGGGTGTATAGAACGAAGCCTTTTAGAGTTTCGTTTTATTGCCAAGGACAAGAATGCTTTTTCCTGTACGTGGGGCATCCCTGCTGAGGGCTGAAGAGTGATGAAAAGAACTGAAGTTTCTAATCAGTGAAGCACAGAAAATACCTCTGTGGTTCACAATTCAAGCACTGACTGATCAAGATTATGAGGTGAAGGAAATGCCAGAGTTTGTAAGCCCAACAGACGCTTTAAGGAGATAATACCCAGAGAAGCATTTCCCGATGCCTCTGAAGATAGAAGTGATGGAATTTCTTCACCTGAAGGAAAGTGGCTGGTTGAAAGCATAAAGGAAATGGTTCCCATAGCACTTTGTGTCACTTACCCAAGGAGCTTCCTTTGCAATCAGATGAAGAGCTAACACTAGCGCAAATGGAAGTGCTAATGTTCATCTCAATTAGACAAAAAGGTTAAATGAGCTCTCAGATGTCTGATCTAGATGTATCACTCTGTCAATACTAAAAGTCCCTGACAGTAAAGCTGACCTTCATGCCCGTTTTTTTCCTCATTTTTCTAAGTGGGGATTCATGGTTTAACAGAATTGCAGGACTGGGTCACCAAGGAACAACACTATTAACATTTTACACGTGTTTAGAAAGGAAGTTTAGCATCCCTAGAAAAACATAAGCAAATAATACTGGGTTGGAAAAAGAAAGAAAAAAGCAGATGAGCCATCAGTCAGTAGACTTGAACTGAAAATTTGAAAAATGCTATGTATTTCTGAGTACATTAAAAACTCAACAATGAGTTCTAATGCAGCTCATTGTAAGGAGTCCTTTTATAACAATGTATTTTCAGCAATAAATGTAAGTTAGTTGCACATTAATAAAAATGCTAATCCCTTTCCACCTATAAAAAAGAGGACGGGACAGGATATTCAGGACGGTTTATTATGTTAACAATGCTTGACTATATTAGAAGAAAAAAATAAAGCAATAGCATGAGAGAAAAATAGAAGAAATCCACTGGAAAGAAAATGTTTCAGAAATCCTCATGAGTCCTTGAGCTAACTGTACAAAGGACATCAAAGTCGGGAGAACAGGAAGAAAAGTTAGGAAGGGATTTATTGTCAAATCAGGGAGAATGAACATGAGAAGGGACTGCCTATCTTTCTCCAATGGAGCAGCCGATGGATTCAAACAGTGTACCTTCAGGGTGGCAGTTGTAGCCCCTTACCACTAAGCCACCAGAGCTCTCTGTTAGTAATAGTGTTGTTGTTGTTGTTGTTATTGTTGTGTACCGTAGAGTCAGAACTGAGCCTTAGCTGACCCTCTGGCAGGTTTTCAGTGGTAGTTAATCATACGAGGGGAGGTTGCCTATCTTTCTCCCGCAGACCAGCAGGAGGCGCAGCTTTTTGCCCCTAGGCCACCAGAGCTCCATTGTATTTCCCCCCCCCCCCTTAATTCTTATGAAAAATCCCTTAGAAAGAGTCACTGATTCACGCGTGAATCTTTAAATATTTGCAATGTCCTAGAAAGCTAGCAAGGGAGTTTTTGCATATTTATCGTGAAACTACAATGTTCTAAGTTACTTCATAAATGACCTTTACTCAGACAAAACTGAAATAATACTGCCAGGAGAGTTAACAGTAGTTCATTTTTTAAGGACAAAATTAAATTAACTCAATAATTCAGGAATAGTCTTGCTCCATCTGAATTCAATGCCCATTTATGAGGCATGTACTGTACTGTCAGACTGTATTGGGATAAGCCCTCTCACTTGCTAACTCACTGCTTTTGAATCGGAATTGACTCAGCTGACTCTCCATTGGGTTATGAGGCTGTAAATTCCATGCAAAATTGCCCATCTTTTCTTCATGGATCTGCTAGCTGACTAGAACTACTAGAGAGGTGATGCCTTTGGATTAACAGCGGAACTCCTGCTGGCATGCCCCCAGAGTTCACTGTGAAAAACACGAGTGACAAAAATGAATAAGCATGATCTCTGTCATCAAAAAAAAATAGTCTCATTATTCAAACTAATATTTTTGCATTTCACTGTATTCAATATTACACTCATTATATACAGTATTGATTTTTAGTAGGACTTTGTTAATAAGTAACAGAGGCTTATGTTTTTCAAATTGTCTCCTTTTAGGCAGAAAGTGGGCAAATGATAATGTGGGAGCCAAACCCATCGTATCTTCTGTTTTTATAAATAAGCTTTATTGCACCATAACCATACTTACTTGTTTATATACTGTCTGTGGCTCCAATGGCAGAGTTGAATTCAGCCTATTATCAAGAACATTGTCAACTTGTATTATAGAAAATATGTATATAAATGTCTATTAAAAACCTAGTCTTTGTGAGGATTCTACAATTAAGGACACCTCCTCTGATAAGCAGGGATTCTTTAAGATACTATGTATAAAGTGAAGTCCCATTTTTCTGCTTAGAATATACAAAATCACTATTCCTCAACAATACTGACTAGTTAAGTCAAGCAGCCTAGCCTGAAGGACATGCAAATTTGGCAACCGTTGTATCAAAACTGCAACCCCCTCTTGATTTACTCACATGGCACAGGGCTCGATGCCTTCTCCCTGGGACGTACAGGATTCTGTCTCTTCAAGTCCTGGGCACTCTTTTTCGCTGCCAATAGGAAACTGCCTGATGGTGCGTGTCCTTACGCGGGTGCCTTTAGGTGACCCCGTATCATAGCAAGTTTGGGAGCATGGGCTCCATTCCGACCACTCAGACACTTGGCACTCTTTGGTGATCACACAGGACTGAAAGGTCAAGGGTAGCTTCTCTTGCTGGCAAAAGCTGGGGGGGAAAAGGCATTGATATTCTTATCAGATTCACAGGCAATTATGACATCCATCTTCTATACTCAAGAGTGAAATCAGCTTGGGCATATTTATTTCTATTTTGAGGGGCAACTGCAATTTCATTGAAAGTACATCAACATTTACGATGTGAAAAAGTCGTTAGATTCAAAACTAACATTTACATTTCTCCTATTTTGTAAGGGTTGTTAAATTGGTTATAGGAAATTGAGGGTGGGGGGAGGGATTAAGCAAAATTAGCTGAAACTAAGTTTACCATATTGCTCATTTCACTCATTCCAGATTTCTTTTCATTTAGAAAATGAGAAAACAAGAACCATTAGCATATGCTAATTTTTGTTCTGTTTAAAGATTTACATACATATGTCTGGCTAATTTAACACAGCATTGTTTTCAAAAGAGAAAAGTAATTTAAAATATGTCTAATATTTATATTATTTTAAATGTAATTTTGAAACTTTAAGTGTAACCATTATATTGTATGCATACTGACATACAATTTAAAATATTTAAATAGTCTTTAAGAATGTGTGTGTGTATATATATTTATATACATACAGTTATCCTAATTCGAAATATTCAAACATTAAAATATAATTATATCTACAATTAAGAGATCTCTTTCAAATATATCTCTAATAATTATTTTATCAGTAAACTATTTATGTTGACGCTTTGCTGCTCCTTCATGCTCGAATCCAACAGCTGCTCTGCTGGAGAAGAGTGGGCAATCTCCTCTTATGTGATTTACTGCCTTTGCAAACCCATTGGAGGGTCAGCCATGGGTTAGTTCTGACTTGACAGCACACAAAAACAACTCCTTCATAAGGGCAATCTGGTGAGATGGTCTTCAGGGAATCACATGTTTCTCGGAATTCAGCCACTAGTGGCAGGCTCAGTAGGAAAGATAGGCAATCTCCTCCTATGCTCCTTCTACAGCCTTGGAATTCCGGAGAGTCAGCTTCGAGTCAGTCTGACTGAAACACAATAATAGAGTGAGGAAGATATTCTTTTTTTTTACTTAAAAGGATGTTAGACATAAAGTATAATGTCTGTATACAAAGACTGAAATGATATCATAGTTGCTAATTATTTGTGGGGTATGCATATTGAGGAGCTTTCCTGGAAATGGATGGGTTTATGTTGCTTCTTAGTTGAACTCTTGCCCATTCTCAATAACTGAGAGTGTATTTTTATGAGACAAAGGCAGCTTGTCGCCATGGCAGAGCCATCTGGTCCAATGGGGATTGAACAGTTAATTCTGCCTTCTCATTCAGGTACTATATTTAACTGTGGTGATCAACCATGGAGGGAGGAAGGTTCCTTTTAATGTAACAATTTAGATTCAGTCTTCTTAATCCTACCAGCATGGGTACTAAGATCACATTCCTAGGGAGACACTTAGGACTCACAGCATCAAAGCCAATCTGTTTGAGTTGAGAGATGTGGGTAATAGAATCACCTGATAATAGTGGTTTTTTATTATCTCCTTTGTGATATCCTTCATATTTTCTTTCCTCTTAATTTTTAAAACAAAGTCCTTTCTCAAGATTATTTTATTTTATTGTAATGCACTTATCCCCCATATAATATGTATTGAGTTAATGGTATATGTGTGGGCAAAAGGTTAAAAATATCTTTCTCTTTTGTAAAGAATCTGACCATTGATTAACTGCCTCCAGTTACAGTTAACCTGGAAACCTGATGATATTTAGATTGTCAACTGTGTTACTAGGTCATATTGCTGAAGGCAAGATAACCCTTGTGGATAAATTGAATTTGCACTGGAGAAATTATTGATAGATGGTAGTCGGACAAAGATCTGAGCTTCTCTAAAGCTAACAATTCTTATAACAGAACTTGCTCATTGTGGGGACCATGGAAGCTGTGACAATCAGACAGTTATTAAAAATTATCTGCTTTTCTGGGATATAAGTCAACACAGCTCCTACACCTGCTTATGTGAAATTTCAAGATCTCTCACTGCCTGAGAAGTGCTTGATGGCACAATAATGACAGTTCTGGATTCTCTCCACTGATCCAAGTGATGCTAAATGTGGACTATGGTAAATCACAGAAAGGTGAAGCTTGATAGAACCTAAGAAGTCCTATAGAGTCATGGTTTAAAATTTTCCTCACATTATTTTATGTAATGCTTCCCCCAAATCTTGTTACATAGATACCCTTGTCAGCTCCATTTCATAGGGAAGAATCCTCTAAAAGGTTAGGAAACACATTCAAGATGGTAGCAAGTGCTGTTTTATACCATCAAGAACAGACTCATGGCTGACCCTCCAGTGAGTTTTCAGAGGCAGTAAGTTACACAAGGGGAGATAGATCATCTTTGTCCCACAGAGCAGATGATGTATTTTAAATACCTGCCTTTGGGTTGGTAGCACCAAAACCTTACTATCCTACAAGCCTCCAGCGCTCCCTTAGCTAGTATATGTTGTGTTGTTGTTGTTGATTGTCGTCAGTAGAGCACGATACATGGCAACCCTATGAATAAAAGTCCTGAAGCCTTTCTATAACTATCATCTTTTATCAAAGTTCATGGAGTTTCCAGACGCATGTTGTTTAGGAAGTGGATAGTATACTGGAATTTAAAGTTAGCTGCTTTAAATCAGAGGCCATTGTATTAACCATTCTGCCCTACTTTTCAGTTTAAACTGACAATACAACTCAATGTCTAAATTACTGACACATTATGTGTGATCCAATTAGTATCACTATTTCACAGCCTCCAGCTTTGAACTATCCATGAACTTTGCAAGTGTGCTACTATTTCTAGGGAAGACCTAGTATGTAATTACACACACACACACACACACACACACACACTCTCATATGGAGCATTACTAACACAAACAGAAGGCCAATTTTCAATTGCTGTTTACTCAAAATTATTCTAACAACTATACATTAAGTAACTATTCATAAATAATAAGCACAAAAGATAAGAGTTCAAAGTTAAAATAACTGAGTTGGAAGAGTAATTTGCATGAAGGAGCAAGCTACTAAGGTGAAATCTAAGGACATAGTTGCTGTGTACTGTCAAGTCAGAACTAACCCATAACTGATCCTCCAGTGGGTTTTCAGAGGCTTAACATGCATGGGAGGAGATTGTCCATCCTTCTCCCACAGAGGAGGTGGCACTTTTTGAACCATATGCCTTTGATATTGCAGCACAGATTCTTACCACTAGGCCACTAGAGTTCCCTCTGTTAAAATGAGATGTCAGGAATTAATGAAATTATAAAATATTTTGTTGTTAATAATTTTGGTAAGTGGGTGAAACATAAGACAGATTTTTCCCCTTGTTTAAGTCATTGCTACAAAATAGGAATCAAATAATATTTGACCCTTCAGCAGATATATGAAGGCTGTAAATAACATAGGAGGAGATTAACCATAGTGCTCCTGTGGAATCCCAGGTGGATTTTAATTGTCTGAGAGAACACACCTATAGGGTAGCAGTTCAGTTTCCTGTAGACTACACTAATATAGTTCTTCTATATGTATATATTGTAGGATAAGTGGCTAATTGTGAGTGTTAGAAATAATGCACATTTTATGCTCACTCATTTAGGTCCATAAAAGGAGCTCTGGTGGCTTAGTGGTACTAAGTGGAACTGAGCCACCAACGCAAAGGTACATGGTTTGAAAAAACCTGCTTGCTCTATGGAGAAAGAGAAGCAGTCCACCCCATGTAATTTACTGCCTCTTGACTACCTACTTGAAGGGTAAGCAATAGGGTCAGTTCTGACTCAAATGCACACAACAACAACAAGAGAGAAAAAACCTTTAAACTGTCTCGATGTTTTATTTAACTTCTGGTGGTTGGTTGATGACAGAATACTTGCTGCTGGTACTGGAGGCAGAGGGTTATGACAATGATAATACTAATTTTTCCATTTCATTTTTTATAATGTCCCCTTTCCTACAATCATACTTTATACATTGCACACTCTAATTATCAGTAGATATTTGAGACTGTTCTTTGCTTTTTAGTGTCTTCCAATTTGAGGGCTCTACCTCCAGTTCTCTACTTAAATGTCTAACACAAATAAGCTCTATTATTCATAAAGTTTTCAAAGTCCTGTTATTTCAGAAATGGGTGGTCAATCCTGCTTCCTAATCTGTCTTAGTCTTGCAACTCTGTTTTAGTAAAGCATCTCACAGATAATTGCTGTATTCATAAGAGCAAACAATAAACAAACATACATATCTAAGTTATTAAGACCAGTAATGTGCAAAACACATACTTAATACAACCAATTTACAAACAAGTGATTATACATCTAAGAGCAAACTCCAAATATAAGCAAACATATGTATGACATGGCACTGTTGGCAAGGGTTCCCTCTGCGAGGTGATGCACAGGGTCTGGAATGTTTTGGGTTGTGTTTAGTAAGTGCCAGTTTTGCTCTATTCTTTATGTATGTTAAATGTGTTAAATTATCTAAATTTCAGAAAAAAACCACTTGGTAGTAGAATATTATGCCTACTTCATTCAACCCAGAGATGAGGAAAAGAAGGCACAGGAAAGTTAGGACATTTTCCCAAGATCTTGCTTACTAAGTGGTGGAGCTGAATACGCTAGGATGTGTTATTGAAGTGGAATCAATGACTCATAGAAGATCCCCAAGTGGGTTTTCAGAGACAGTAAACCACACACAAAGAGGTTACCCATCTTTCTCCAGCAGAACAGCTGGTGGATTCCTCCTATGTGTCTTTGGTTTGGAAGGGCAGTTCCTTACCACTAGGCCACCAAAGCTCCCATGGTAAAATGACGATGAATTACCACTGAATGTCTGCTATGAGTTAGGAGCTGTGTTAAGCTTTACAAGACTATCTCATGTAACCATCAAATCTGCTCTTTAAAGCAGTTATCTGCCTTTTTTAATAGATAAGAAAACTGAATCTCAAATATCCCAACTCATGCAGCCAGAAAATAGCAGAACTAAAATTCAAAG